AAAACTACCCAAAAGAGAGTCTTTTTATCGGGGGAGCACAAGGCTCAACACACAGATGTGTGAAACTATAGGAGGAGCATACAACAGGGGTTTTATAGTGCTGCTGAGTGCTACGTGATACTGCAGTGTTCAGTTTTGACAGAATGAAACACACACCCCTGTAATGTGGTACATTTTGATTTTGTATATCAGTGTATGATGATCCTTGCATGGTATTCTTGTAAAAAATATTGAATCATCAAAGTTTTTTTTTCATCATCCATAACCTCGCAACTCAGTCACATACTCCAAATCCTCGGCTTTAGTGGTCAGATGGGTTACTGCACATTTTTACTTCCTGAGGCAGTAGATCTGAACGGATGTTGCAACCGGTGCAGAGATTTTGCTCAGATGTTCCAGTTGCATTTCATGAGCATATAATCAAGCGTTTCCCTCCGGGTCAATATTCAGTCCAAGTGAACCAGTCCTTTGTAATTGCTGCTGCCTGCCTTTCGTGACCGCACAAGGCTGTCTCATAGGCTGCATTATGAAACATTTTTCCAAAGTCCGGTGGCTCAAGGTATTCAGCAAACATTTGGACTTTTTTTTTAATATTGACTTTTACAAACACAAATGAACCATTTAACATAAACAGCAAAAAGAAAAAAAAAACATACATGCACAACAGAAAAATCCCACCTCAACTCAACATTAATCACTGCAATATAATAAAAAATAAATTAAAAGAAAGAGAAAAAGACAGGAATATGACAGAAAATAAATATGTAGAATACCACATACAGATTAAACACTCAGTCATTGCCTATCAGGGACAAGTGAGTCAGGGGCTCTGTAAAGCCCAGCTACTTGCAATGTGCCATTCTGCAAAAAAAAACCCTTTTTAAACCCTTTTTTAAAACCCTGCAGGGTCACACCAATGCAACTAGATGAGATGGTGTATCATCTCTATATAACAACTCTCTGTACTTCTGTTCTGATATCCAGCTTTTCAGGCTTATTTTGTGGCTGAATATAATTTATAGCTTCCTAAAATATGACCGAGGATAGTGATAGTGAGATACTGGCTACAGTTGTATTTGTAGTGATGAAACAGCAAAAATCATAAAACAAGTATCAGATGGACTGTATTCATAATCAGTTCACCACAATAATATAAATAACCATAAGCTGATTGGCTGTAGAAACATGTGAAGTGCTTTGCTTTCTAAAACCAGCCACCGCCGATTTGACCAGCAGAGTTGCAGGTGACACCATCAGCCAGCTTGAGTTGAGCTCAGATAAGTCAGTTCACACTGCTGCAACTGTTCACATTTGAAATGGTTTCATCTCATTGTGAATCATTAGTCTGAACTGGGCATGTAAAGGATCCCAAAGTCTCCAAAGTGTGTCCGATTTATGATGGAGATTTTAAGTCAGTTTCTCCAGAGGGATAAGAACTGATAACTGTGATATGGACCACCATAGCTTAACAAATAAAATGAAGAAGACAGTGTAAACTGTTTACCAATAACCTCCAGAATCAACCTCTTTCCAAAATGTCTTAATGCAATCACATGACCGTAACAAGTGGATAATTGTACCTTTGTGTGTTTTACATTTGTAACAGGGGCTTGATCTGTTGGGGAACATTCAGTGAGGGTAAAATAAGTTTGATGGAAAAAATTTCATTTTTGTTCATGTATAGAAATTGAAGTACATTTTGGAAAGATTCCACTGCAAATCTTGGTCCAATGTACAGGACTAAATGTAACCCTTAGATCGCGTTGCCACAGCAGCTTCAGGGAGTCATAAGCTGAGGAATCAGAATCCAGCAGTAGAGTATAAATCTTTGAAATTATTCCCTTGGGGTTCCTTTGAGATTTGGCTGAGAACGTGGCATTTTCCAACTCTCAGTTTTAGACAGATCTGGTTCTCCCCTAAAAGAGATTTAACAAAGTGATGAAATTGGAGAAATTTAAAAAAGTCCTTATGTGTATGTTAAATCAGTTCTAATTTGCTCAGTAGATTTTACAGCATCTGTGTTCAACAAACCTGCAGGATCTGACAGACCACTCCAATAGACCGATAGTCCTAATCTTACCTGGGAGATCAGGATTCAGTGCCAGGGGAGACCAAGCAGAAATAACAAAGGGGATGTGTACACATCTCACATCCCTCCAGACCAGGAGTGTGTTATAAATATATTACTGTTAAGAGAATTCAACTGGTCTATATTGCTGATAAAGGAAAGGGATTTATACCTTCTAGGGTAACATGCTAGAGACTCGAGACCCCACCATAAAGAGTCATTACTATTCATTAATCAGTTAGTCATAATTTTAAGTTGAGCTGAACAGTAGCAGAGTAGTATATTGGACAGGGATAAGCCTCCCATATTTTTGGAGTTGAACATTTGGATTTGAGGGTAACCTGATTTGACTGCCCACACGATTGAAACACCAAGTGAACTTTGTAGTATTCGTATCAGAGTTATTCATTAGTTTTTATTTTTATTTTGTTTTTCATTTTCAATTCCATTTTTAGGGTGGGTTTGCTCACTTCAGTTTAACTTTAATTGTTTTAAAATGGTTATTTTTGTTTTTATTAGTGTTAGTGATATTGTTATTATTTTTTCTAATATGCGAGGTATTTGTCAGAGGCAGATTTAGGAAGTTCAGATTAGGTATTATGATACAAACACAAGACTGTGTGTATGCAAATGACTCACAGTGATGCAGACATCCCTGTCTCAATAAACACATGCACCAGTGCCTCCCCATGCTTGTTGCGTGCATGTGGGAACTCATTTTCACTGTGTTTTTTTAAATGTATTTATTTATTTTTTAAGTGGGTGTTTGTTGGACCCATCCCCCACCTCTCCCACCCACCCTGCTTGCACTTTTAATGCCTTAACTTTTATTGTTTTCCTGCCACATGTACCCCTGACGCTTCAAGCCACCATTAAACAATGTGAGAGGATTGCTTTTTTCATCAGTGTCTAATGCTGGAAGTCACTGACCAAGTACCAGTTTTTGACGACCTTGGAGTGAGACGTTTTTTTTTAGCAAGACATCAGCAGAATTTCCAGTGGCAATTGTATCACCAAAAGTGGGTGTTTTAAGCCAAAAATCAGTCTTTTTCTAACCACAATTAAGCGGTTTTTGTGCCTGAACATAACCACATGTTAACCACAGCATTGTTGAAACGTAATGTTTCAAAATATCCGCTACATAATAAGGTAAAAATATTACATATTCGTGGTTTGCAAAAACATCCATTTATTTATTTATGTTTATTCTGGCGATTGGGTTGAAGAGCTACAGGAAAACTGCGCAGACGTACTGATGTCGGTGGCTCAGTTAATTCAAAGTTTCTGCGCTCTCTCGCTTCTGACAGATTTTCTCTCTGGACTGCATGTGCCAAAATTTCTAATATTTCCTTTTAAATGGTGGCAGACATCCAGTTGTCTGTTTGCTTCTCGTCTGTTCATGTTCCCTGGGCAACTCATAATGTTGCATCCACGTGTTTCTGCTCCATCATCTACCCCCGCAGTGCCTCATATCCAAATTATTTTATGGATCTAAAGCAGCTCCAAATTTCCATTTGTCCCAACCTGTTCAGCCTTTCTGCACTATTGATTAGCTCTTGCTACCGCAAATCTCTCCCCAAGTTTAGCTGATCCATAAGCTGACCCCGACCCTTGCACTTTGACCTGATGTGATGACATTGTCATGTCAGATCAGAGGAACTGATTAAATTTGAACATTTTAAGTGTTTTTTTTTTTTTTTTCATATATTTTCCGACAGGCACATCATTTTATGCTATTTAAAATTTTAAACAAATGTTCAGATAGCCCATGACTTATGGTGAATTAGCCAACAATTAGCACACTGTGTTGTTTCATCCCTTGTCACCCACCTTCCCGTGCACTTGGCTTTACAAATTTAATCAGATTGTCAAAGAGTAAAACTAAATACATTTTATTTAATTTTAGTTGAGTTAGTTTGTAAGTACACAATATCTTTTCAGTTAGTTTTTTTTTTTCTAAAGGCTAGTTTTTATTTTTATTTTATTTAACTAATGTGTTTTTTCACACAAATTTATGTTTTTATAATGGTTACAAACAGGACAGTTTGATACATAAAAGGTTTAATAAAATTTATCCTCGCATTTATCAAACACCCTCCCCCCCTCAGGTCAAATAGTTAATTTACAGGACATTTTCATGCAGCGTATACACATAGGTTATATGTAGCTTCAGGATGGAGCACCTGATGTGCTTGCCTATAGTAAGTTGGGGCAATGGTGGGGGGTCTGCGTGTGTGTGTGTGTTTGTATGTGTGTATAACATAGCCCTGAACCAATTAGCTCCTTCAGTGGGGGTGGGAGTGATGGTTACAGCGGTGTTCCACAGGGTACAGCCCTCAGCCCTGTGGGGTCCCGGCCAATAGCAATTAGCCCACCAACAAGAGCTCTAATTAGCCCTCTTGATTGGCTTGGTAACAGCGCAACAACAACACCAGCAGCCAACACATAGAGACGACCAAGGTGACTCCACCAAGACGCAATGCTTTAAAGCCAGCTGTACTGTAATTAGTAAACAAGCATAGCTGTCTGTAATTGGTAAACAAGTAGTCGGGTTTGTTTGCGGTGTCATTATGAACCTGCTGCTATGTAAAGTATTTCTGTAAAGGGCTCCATGATTGAGTCTGTGTTGCTTTGTTTTCTTTCTGCTTGGCAGCATTGTTAGATCAGTCAGTATTAATACATCATCCAGGCTCTTCTGTCAGCTCTATGCAACACATGCAGAGGGAGGCTGAGGGGAGACAGAGCAAAGAAATAAATTAGTAAATGGAGAAGGGGAAGAAGAAGTGTGAGAGGGAAGAGTGAGATGTTGTGTTAGAATCCCATCTCCTATTATTTAATCATAGCAGCACCTGGTGGCTGCTGCTGTAATAGAATTTACAATCACTGCTTGCACTGGATTCATGTTTCTCTTTTTTATCTGTGTCTTTCCCAGTCTAGATGTGAAGCTATCCCATGATGCAACATGTGTCCCCAGCACCTGCAGTGACAATGATGGCCACCCAGAGCGTTCCTCCACCATCGTACCAGGAGAGCCAACAGGTCAGAGGTTTCATCAGAATTTACCTCAGTGTTTGAACTCCAACACTCGATACTCAACACATAGTAACACCTCAAGAATGACCCTGTTAAAGTTAAAGACCCTGAAAACTTATTTTTCTTAAGTTCTTACTGTGAGTGATGGGGTTTTCTGTCAGAGCTAGAACAGTGTTAAATGTTTAGGTAGATCTTTGCACTGTGGAAGAGGCTCACATGAAAACAAGTGATTTCATATAATCCTGTGCACCAATCAGAATTTAGCAACCTAACAGTTTGGATCATTATCCTGTGACAATTAATTAGTTTAAGTAGGTTAGCATTCTGTGCTCAAGCCTTAATAAGTAAGGACTAACTAAAATGTAAAGTGTTGCTTATTTAGCCATGATTATTTCATGCTAGTATAGGCAGTACTTCATATTTTAAAACTTAAGTTTTGTGGGTGATTTAAAGAGATTTTTAGAGCAGGCAAACATTTTTTTGTGTGCAAAAAACGATTAAGTTAATGACTTCTACCCCCACCAACTAGTAATCACTGTAAAGTCTAGGAATGTTTTTGTGGGAGATAATAAATTGTAGTAAACAGAAAGACTCTGTGGTAGTCCTAAAGTAATATTACAGTGATGCCAAAACAGATAAAAGTTGCAGTTAACTCTTTGGTTTTGATGACACTGGCTTTACTTCCTCACAGATACCAATGCTTTTGTGTGTTATAATAATAATAATAATAATAATAATAATGATAATAGTAGACAATAATATCTTGAAGGACACACAGAGAGTACAGACCTCCGCCAAGGCCAAACACCGTATCTGGCGATGTTGATGGTGCAATACAAGACACTCAGATCAATAATTTAGCAGCAAAACACTATTATCTGGGTATCTAATCACCACTGCTCTGCACTGCACACTTCCCTGGCTAGGCATCAACATAAAGTGGTGCAAATTTTCTTTTCCTAGGATGGCAAAGGCATGACCTGTGTTGGTTAAGATTAGGCAAGAGGAGTGAGTTTGGATAGGGTTAGGGTAAGGGCTCATTTATACTCAACATTGAATACATATACAGAGATGGACGAAGCCATCTGTTGGTCTGTGTTCATTTAGTTCATATGTGTGCACATTTTCTGAAAGCTTAAGAAAAATGGCAGCACTGCACTGCAGCCATAGGTAGCTATGATCCACAGCAGGACCGGGACAACACCTCACATTCCCGCCATCACACCAGTCCTAATTCACCATATAGTACAGGTCAACTCTCCTTCTCTCACCAGAGTGCTCTGCTCTGTCAGATCGGCATATAGAAAAAGAATCACCTGGCTGAATGGCACTGTCCAGGATTTAGCCAAGCTTCAAGGAATCAGAGGATATTACAGTTCCTGATATGGAGGTCGTCGAGTTTATTTTCCAAAGTTTGTATGGCTAGGAGAATGCTAGTTCAGCTGATGTCCATTGTCTCTCCATCTTCCTTGATGTTTACTGATGTTTACATTTGAAAAATCACCTGGCTCGCTAGCAGCTAGCTAGCTAGAAGTAAGAAGGAGAGTTTACAGACTGATAAATGGATTTTCTCATCCCAGTGAGTGGCCTGCAGCCACACGCCACCGTCTAACACCAACTCCAAAAAGCACCACTAAGACTTGCAAAATAGACAGAAGACTCTGAATATAGTACACATTTAGTGGAGCTGACAGAGAGGCAGCTGGAAGCGACTGCGCCTGCAAGATAGGACTGAAGGAGACCACAAAGACATTTAAAAAATGCCGTAATGGAACAAGTCAGTAATGTAGCGAAAGTAATTCTCCATCCACATGCCACAATGTATTTATTGGCCTTACAGGCCACCACCGTCTGCAACTCTGCCTCTGTTAAAAGGTACAATATTACAACCTCCTTCACCGTCGCCTCGTTTGTTGTGTGAAACTTTTAAAATCGCCCTCTAGTGCCATCTATTGCTGTATCTATGCCAACATAAAGAACGCAAAGAAGTATGAGGCCAGTGCTGTTTACAATGTTAGAAATGGATGTATCTATTTTTCTATGTAAAGGGAGTAGAAATAAGCCTTAAGAATATCAGGATATGCTAATCAGAGGCAAAGTAAGGGAGAGTAAGGCAGGTCCTGCCTTCACCATCCTGAGAAAATAAATTCATATATGGGACAGAATGAGCACTGCCTTACGCAAAAAGTTATTTGCTGATAAAACAATATACAATATGTCATCTTACATAGTGGTGTAACTAATGTTTTGGGTTGAATAGACCTTAGAGAGGTTTAACACCCTTTTAGTGCTCTAATGAACAAACTGTTAGAAAAGTCCAATCACAAAAATCCAGACTACTCACATGATTTTGGATTTGGAAGGGGTAGTGCTGCGCAGAAACTATTGTTAACTCAAATCACACATATAGAGCATCCACTGTATGTAACCATGTTCTACAGCTGGGGTCTCTGAGGTCCCAAACAAAAGTCTTTGCAGGAATATTAAAACGATTTTTCATGAGGTTGAATTGCATTTTATAATTAAGACATGAGTGATATGTACTGTATGTCAAAGTGTAAGAATAAGAGGTCAAGCCCCAGCCTGCGGTGTTTAACATAACACGTGATGCCACCAACAGGTCAGTGTAATTAATGTAGCCTAACAGGGCTGGACCAAGGCTCAGTCTAACACTGCAGACCATCCCATGGAGGGGAGGTAGAGCAGGTTCATCCGACTGCCTAACCCTCCTCCACGTCCACACCACCTCTGTCTACTTTCGCCCAGAGGATTAGTGCCATGGGAGAGCTTCCGAGCTGCAGTCTGCGCGCTCGGCAAATGCAAATGAGAGCTAGTTAAGTGTGAAGAAGCTAATTTATTTCCCATTTGGTGCTCGGATTAAGACTTGAAGCTTCCTCCCACCCCACCACGACTCAAAAAAAAAAAAAAAAGGCGGGGGATGGGGGGTTGTTCGACTCATTTCCTCAGAGAGAACGAATGAAAGACCAAAGTGGGGTGGGAAGGGATGAAGAAGACAACGGATTGTGTTCGTAAAGCATGTCACTCCCCTGGCCACCCTACAGCACAAATAATACCAAAGACCAGATTATATAATGATTCCATGTTGAGCCAACAGTACTGTGGATCCTCAGAGCAAAGGAATACAGTATGCTTCAGCAGTATGGCTGGTTGTGAACACATTGTTAAGTTGCTAAATCCTAATTGAATATTTATCATTTAACAGGAATCTATATATGACCTGAGCATGCCTTGTTCAATTACGGAATCTATCCTATCTCAGTCATTGTGTTTAACAGCTTCATTACAAGGCTACTGACCTGTCAAGCAACAATGATTCATTCCAGCTACATCCTCATTTGTAGTCTGTTGGCATCAGATGCATGTTGCACCTTATTGCTTTTGAAAAGTGATTAAAAAATTACTTACACCTCTCAAGCAGCTGTGTGCTCATTACGAGAAGTAGAAGAAGTTTATGTTAGGATTTTTAAATAATTGAAAAACTGGTTATTTTGGTCGTGTAATTTTCATATTTAGCCTGACGTTCAGCAGTTCAGTGAGCAAGTTTAAAGGTCCAGTGTGTCGTATTTTGGGGCTATATGTTGGTGTAAATGGAAAAAAATTAGAATGTTTTCTTTAGTGTATAATCACTTAAAATTAAGAATTATCACGTTTTCGTGATATGAAAGAATGAGCTGTTTATATCCAAATAGGGAGCGGGTCCTTGTCTATGGAGATCGGCATGTTTCTACAGTAGCCTACAAACCAAACACTGGCTCTAAATATGGCCATTTGGTTTGTTATTGAGTTGGCCACTGTAATTAGAAGCACCTCCGTGATAAGAGAGATGGAAAAACACAGATTCTTTTTTTTTCTTTTTTTACATGAAACTGCTTTTGGTGTTTCTGCTGGTTTAAATCATCGGTCTGTTTGTTTTGGAGAAGAAAAGACCTCTCGTGGTAAAAACCTCCTGAACAATGAACAGTTGAAGGGATTCTAAGGGTCAGAAATTTTAGTCACTTGCAGTCTGCAATCCTCACTGTTACGTACCAGTAAATCTTTTTAAGTCTTACACATTATTCCTTGAAGTGACTCAATGGTTTGATTTTAGGTTAGCAGCCACACACACATCAGAAAAAACAAGCCCATGCTAAAGCTAACTAAAAGCAAATTATAGGTTGGTTTGTTTGCAGTTTTTTTCCATTCAGTTTAGATCATTTTTACAAACAGGGATACATTGTAAAAAAGACATTCATTTTTGTTCTTTTTAATTTTCTGCTATAAATTTATATTTCCATGCTAGTAGCAATGTTGGTCTGTCGGTCCACAGCTTTGGTCCACAACTAAAATATCAACAGATCAGTGGTTCCGAACGAGTGGGTCACAGTCAAAAAGTTCTGTCACGGGTCCATTCTGAATGGACTGCAAATGACTTGCAAATTTGTAAAGTTTGTAAAAAAACAAATTTTATTTTTTAAGTGAAGTGAATTACTGGCAAAGGCCATTTTCTGCTGTAGAGTGAGTGACTAACAGACAGCTATTTGACAGAGAAAGCAAACTAGCTTGACCTCTTGGCCAAATGCAAGTATGAAGCTCGATAAACAAAACTATGTGGACTTTGAACTAATGACTAAAGAGAAATCTGGACCTTGTGGCTGGAACGGTTGGGAACCACTGTATTAGATGGATTGCCATGAAACTCATAGAGACATACAGTACATGGTGACCCACTGTCCAGTACTTCGGGCTAATTATGAAAAAAATACCTGCAAAACTGATGACATCCCCATCAGCCTAAACTGTGCAGGAGTGTGTCTCCCAGGGTACCATGCAACTTAACTCAATATCATCTGACTATGACACATTAGGAGACCTTTCAAAGGGTTTTATGCAATGTTTTTCCCTCAGGTCAAATGTTCAATATGTTTCCCTGGGTCAGTTTGTAGAAATCACCTACCTACAGCTTATAACCGACTATTGTTATACTCCTTGAAACCTACAATCTCAGATTTTCGGCAAAGAAAGTTTACTTGATTTTAGATATTGATATCTCTACAGTAGCTGAATGGATTTTTGTCATTCTAGCTGCATTTGAAATCTCCATCTCCCTTTGTGTTTTCTGCAATTTGATCTGCGAAGATAGCCCTTACCAATCTCTTACAATTTTGGTTTACACAGTGGTAGTTGTACCACCAGGTAGATGGGTATGTAATCAAGGGGAAGTGGGCACACTTTCCTATAGGCCTATATTTCACTAACTTTTTGGCAGATAGGTGGGTATACAGTAAGAGTCAATACGTTTACATGCACAGTTAAGTCAAGCTACTGCAGCTTGACTAGGCCATTTAATTGGACTTCTGTCCTTGTCCAAGTATATAAGCATGGGAGGGGATTTGATTTACTGACCAAAGTATGTTACACTCTGCCATGATAGGTAGTGATATACCCCCTTTCAGCTTGTTAGTATTGGACCTTTTTGTGGGTGACCCATTATGTCACAGACCAAGCAATCAACATACAAGTTAGCTACGATTCGCTAGCTGCAAACTGGTACCATGGTAGACAACTTTAAAGCTCTGAACATTTTGGTGTACACTTTACTTTTTCTTTTTCTTCTCTTCTTCTACTATGCATTTAATGGTATTTGACTTTTGGGTTAAAGTCGTGGGCAGAAACTGTGGAGCATGAGCAGTGCACCTAGGCCAGTTGGGTCTGATTAGTAATATGATTCCCAAATCTGGGTGTGTTAGTCCAACTTTGAGAAATTGGATTTAGTACGGTTTTAGCTGGATAACACAATAAATCAATTTTTCTCTCATGTTATGTAAAGGTACTGAGTTAAACATGTTAGCATGCTGGTATTAGCATTTAGCTCAAAGCACTGATGTGCCTAAGTGCAGCCTCACAGAGCGACTAGCATGTTAGCTGTAGGCTGTTTTATTGTTAGCTTGAATGTGACATAATTTTGTTCTGTTTTTGTTTTGTTTTTTTTGTGTCCCCAGATGACGGGCACCACTCAGCAGAACACCAAGACCCCACAGGTCCATATCCCAGCAGCCTCTGCAGCAGGAAATACCTCTGTCAGTGTGACCCTTGACCCCCAGGCCCAGCTTGAGTCTGACAAGAGGGCTGTTTACAGGTTGGTTCAATCTCCCATAAGAGGTTTATTTGCCATTAGAGGGTGTATACGTCTATCTTGGGTGAATGATGCACTACTATGAAACACCACTTTCTTTTGCAACTGGTAATCACTTTGGCTTTTGCTAAATTAAATATGAGTACTTGTCAAACTAGTTTTGGCTATGCGCACCATCCTGCCCTTGAATTTTCTTCCACTTCTTTTTTCCTTTGAAATAATTTTTGCATATTCTCTCTAACCCCACACTAGCTTTAAGAAATTGTACCTAATTGACTTGATGTGCTTCTTGCTGATGAAGGCCACAAGCACTAGTGTTGTTTTTAATATGTTCTCCTAAACTAGCCATGACTTTAAAGCTTTTGAAAATTGCACTTGAAGGGTGCCTCCTTCAATTTTCACTTAGTGTCGTTCATAAACCAAAGAGCACCTTCAATAAATGCTTTCACTCATCAAAGGCGAGCAGAAGCACCCTCAATTTCTTTTTCCTTGGATTTAATAAATTGACTTTAAAATAAGCATTTGATATACTGCCAATAGTCAGGCTGTTTCTCTAACTTGTGCACAGAAGCTCAAGCCTCTTATGACTCTGATTATTAGGGTGAGACAATGAATGAATGCATAAATGAATGAATGCTTTCTAATGATTTCCCGTCATTGTGTTGTGTTATAACCACTCAAGAGGGCTAAAGGAAACAAACAAACAAACAAAAAAAAACGCATTTAAACCAGCAAATGTTTTGTGTAAGGTTCCGGACTTAAATTGTAAAACATAATGTATTTCTCTTTCACGCCAACAGTCATTTTCAAAGGTAAGCATCACTCTCCAAGTGGTAGAGACCTCATTTTGATATTAAACTACTAGTTTGCTAATACTTATTGGTGAAGTCCAAATATACAAATGAATCGCACTGAGGGGGACACTGCACTTTTGTAAAAGAGATTTCATTTTGTGTCAAAATAAGTACACCTAAACCATTGCTGTTTATCAAAGGCAGTGTGATTTTTTTAAAAATACTTTTTTAGGCAAACTTTAAAGGGGAACACTGCCAAAATTAAGAATTCCAATAAAATATTTCCATGGCCTTGGAAAATTCAATCAATATTTATGAACACAAGCTACTCTCTCACAGCCAGAAACCAGAGAAGTAAGTCTCAAACTTGTGATGTCACAGGGTTCAAAATCTGGAGCTTCTCCATAGACAAAGAATGGGATACTGATTTTGTGGACACACAGAATGTTTCTTTGCTTTTTTTCCCAAATGAGCTTTATTCTATTGTAGTGTTCACAGTTCTGAAATATAAAATGTACCCATATTCTCAGAACATCCCCTCTGTTGCTCTTGTATCCCCTTTCCACCAATATGGAACCGGTTCCTACACCTAATTTTGAACTGTTCAGAATATTTTGACCAAACATAAGTTGTTTCAGAACCCAAAAAGTTGGGCTGGAACCAAAAAATAGCACGTTGTCCTTGACCTGAAGTGCCAAAAGGGACAACATCAGTGAGTGTGCCATATTCTAATGGTTGGAAAAAGAGGATGGAGAAGTCAGTTGAGGTACTTTCTGAAGAAAACTTGTGTAGTGGTCTGTAATTGGTCCATGCTTGATTTGTGCGTGAAAACAAATATCTATACAGACAAAGCAAAAAGTTAGAAGTTAATTAATGTAATCCATGACTTTGCCACTACCCTTTGATGACACATCCTTGATTACAGAGGTTCTGTGCGACATTGGTGAAAATGCTAACACATTCTCACTCCAACCTTGTCACCTATTGACGTTTGGTCATAGACTTTCCACATTGAGATATGACGTGCAAGGTACTGTGGATGCATTGGTCAATGACGTCCTAGATGCCTTGTCAACTTCAGCCTGTTACATGCATTGTTTTTTCCTTCAACAACAAACGCAGGTGGTTACGTTTAGTCAACACATACATGGTTGGGTTTAGGAAAAAGAGTATCAATGTCATCTAAAATGTCTTCCCCATGTCAATGTCTGAGGAGCACTTCTTGGCTTTATAGCATATGACATCACAAATGTGAGTTTTATTACTGTAGCTTTTGGATTTGGGAGAGTTGTTCATGTTTACTAATATTCTTGGACTGTCTTAGACGATAGGAATAACATTTATGAATTTTTGAAATCGGCATAGTTCCCCTTTAAGAATATTTTCCAGTAAGCTCTGAGTAAAATCATTGTGAGAAAATGTTGTTGACACTGAAGTGGAGATAAGCTTTTTGCCTTTTTTCCTCTTTTGTCACCCTTATTTTAGGATGTTTACAGATCACCCTACAGACATTTGTTCCAAATTGTTTTTTTTATTTACCATGTAGAAGCCCTCAAAGGCACCACCTTGTTAGGTGTGGAAAAATAAGCAAGAAAATCACTGCTGGGTGAAACCCAAAACTCTAGTAAAAAAAAAAAAAGAAGGAAAAAAAAAACACCTCACTCCTCTCTCAGCTTATCACTAGAATATTGATGCACCCTTATAATGAGCTTGTATTATCTATTTATGAAGTAAATTATTCAAAATACAGACATTTTTAATCGAGCTGGTGTAGGCACCAAACCAACAACTTACTAGATTTGTTGAGTCGAGTGAGACACGAGCTGCCCTGCACTGTCTGGTGCAGCCTGTCCTGTAACGATGACACTGCAGACTACGTTGAGCCGTCTGTCCCAGCTCCTCAGGTCCCACCCGCGGGTATCCATCACTGCTGTCTGAGGAGGTGCGAGCCCCCGTGCTCAGGCCTGAGGCGAGCTGCTGTAAAGTCCTTAGCAGCTCCTCTGAGATACAAGGCAGCCTTTGATGTTAGCAGCCATGTTTGGAGCAGCTCCGGGTGGTGGTGGTGCTGTGTGGCAATGGGGGTGTCTCAGTCCAAGCCAGCCCCTCTTCTGCTTCTACACAGGCTTTATGGATCTTCACTTTCCTCCTCTTCCTTTTCTAAACCACATTAACAGGAAAGCAAAAACAGAGGAATCTCACAGTGACAGCTAAACAAAACAAGATTGTTTGTAGCATTGATATAGGCCTTATTATTTATAAGTTTAATTAAATCTAGCCTCAGCTCTCTTGTTGTCTTCTGGAGAGAATATATTAATGCTAATAATGCTAATGTACTTTATTGGCTGCTTGATTGGAGTGCCTCTATAAGAGCCGGGATCTGTGTATCCATTCTTGGGTGTGTTAATTAATGTAAAACATATTTAAACATGCACAGTAGAGGAGGACTTGCAGCAGTGTGTATTGTTTGTGTGGCGTGTGGTTGTAAAAGTGTACTGATGACACTGTGCTGCAGCAAACAGGATGACAATGTACATGCATACACACAAACAATATGGATTATAGAAATAGATCAACATATTGGGAATATACTCATTTTCACTAACTGGTCATAGGTCACTAACTGTGTATACGGCTTAACTCATGGTGCAAAATGTCTTTTACCACAACATTAAATGTAACCTATTAGAACCATTGTGAAATACATAAACATTAATCACTGCATAATGGGTAATGTGAGTGATTTAGAGCACATTTAAACACAGTTTTCGTCAGCTTATGGCCTTAAACACATTGTCTCATGGCATGCTGGAAAACTCCACCCATTCAGCCCCAACACACCACAATATGTTACATGCACAAAGTGTTGTTTATTGGCCTAAACTAATTAGGTGAAATAGGCTTTATAAATTTCCGTCAAATTAACTCAAAACTCAAAAAATGATGTCAAGCTCACAAGGGATGATTTTTATGTCAAGTAAACATCCAGCTTTTATATCATTTTGACAACCCGGGGCATTTGTGTAGACTTAAAAAAAAAAAAAAAAAAAAAAAATGTGTTATGGATGGATTGGGGTTTACATTGCATAATTAACTTAAAGTTAACATGTACCCATTGAATTTTGTTTCATGGATTTGCCTATTTCACTGACACTGATTTGTGCCTCAGAAACTTTAATAGGTGCTAGTCTAAAAGAAATGAGTGGCATTTACATTGTTTTTCATAAAGCAGCATAACAACAGCAGTGGTGTAACTCAACCATAAGTGAAGCAAGCTTCTCTTTATCATGGCTGGACACTCTATTAAGTAAATCTCCAGTCTTGTAGTGCTACACAGAACATATGTTCCAGTCATTCTTCCCAACTGTATTCAAAGTACCAAGAGTTGCTGTAACTCTGCTAGCACTAATGTGTTTATGAGTGCAATAACTCCTTCACTCAGATGTAATCTTAAAACATCGTAATAATTAAATGTTATTCCTCAATGAATAAAAATAATGGTCAAATAATAGTCAGGTCAACTGTAAAACTACAGGCGATGAGCCCTTATTGAACCATGTTACAAAAAAGGAGGCTCATGGTTGAACTTAACTGCCACATCCTGATTTATGGTTAAGAGTACGAGCTGGAACAACAGCTAACCCTAACCCTAACCCAAACAGACAGAATCCGACATTTAAATTCGTCGGAATAACTTTGGACTGAGCCAGGCTAGCTATTCCCCACTGCTTCCAATCTTTGTGCTAGGCTAACCACGTGTACTGTACATAACACACAGTGTCTCTGAAAGTCAGGGAAGGATCCTTAAATGGTTGAATTTCAAGGAGTCTACGTCATCAGATCTTGCTGGACTGTTCCAATGTGAAGGATCCTTTAAATTCTACTGAAGATGGTGTCCTTCCTTCAGAGAATCTTCATGAATGTGTGTGTGTATCCTCAGCGGGCGTGAAGTACCCACTGTTCTTTGCGCATGATTTGCCAGGATGGTGCACACCTGGGCATTCACTAGCCTATTCCACTAAGGCCCTGTTTAGATGACAACCGTTTCTCTAAAAACAGAAAAGTCTGTCCTTGGCGTTTTAAAAAACTTCTGCGTTTATATGATGACGTTATTGAAACGATCCCCGTTCAAACGAAGCCGCAAAATCTACTGGAGACGCTGTAGAATGCACGCCAGGCCAATGGGTGGCAGTGTAAATTTGCAAAGCAACA